TCAGTCGGATTGGGGCTATATGGGTTCTTGATGATTGATGAGTGAGGAAGTCAGTCAGTCGGATTTGGGGGCTTATAGGTTCTTGATGACAATTGATGATTGATTTTGAGTATGTTGCCGGTGACGGGGACCCGATTGTGGCACAGTTTCTGAAATGTCTCGACTTGATTTACCGATTGGGCTAATAAAAATTTTTAGTCGGTCGGTCCCCTTTTTTGAAGATTGAGTGGACTTTGTTAAATTTAGGCCTATTTAATTGTTTTTGAGGATGTTGCCGGTGACAAAAACCCGATTGCGGCACAGTTTCGGAAATGTCTCGAACAGACCTACCGATAGGGCGAATAAAAATTATTAGTCGGTCGGTCCCCTTTTTTGAAGATTGAGTGGACTTTGTTAAATTTAGGCCTATTTAATCGTTTTTTAGGATGTTGCCGGTGACCAGGACCCGATTGCGGCACAGTTTCGGAAATGTCTCGACCAGACCTACCGATGGGGCGAATAAAAAATTTTAGTCGGTCGGTCCCCTTTTTAGAAGATTGAGTGGATTTTGTTGAATTTAGGCCTATTTAATCGTTTTTGAGGATGTTGCCGGTGACGGGGACCCGATTGCGGCACAGTTTCGGAAATGTCTCGACCAGACCTACCGATGGGGCGAATAAAAAATTTTAGTCGGTCAATCCCCTTTTTTTTTAAGATTGAGTGGATTTTGTTGAATTTAGGCCTATTTAATCGTTTTTGAGGATGTTGCCGGTGACGGGGACCCGATTGCGGCACAGTTTCGGAAATGTCTCGACCAGACCTACCGATGGGGCGAATAAAAAATTTTAGTCGGTCGGTCCCCTTTTTTGAAGATTGAGTGGATTTTGTTGAATTTAGGCCTATTTAATCGTTTTTGAGGATGTTGCCGGTGACGGGGACCCGATTGCGGCACAGTTTCGGAAATGTCTCGACCAGACCTACCGATGGGGCGAATAAAAATTTTTAGTCGGTCGGTCCCCTTTTTTGAAGATTGAGTGGATTTTGTTGAATTTAGGCCTATTAAATCGTCTTTTGGGGATGTTGCCGGTGACGGGGACCCGATTGCGGCACAGTTTCGGAAATGTCTCGACCAGACCTACCGATGGGGCGAATAAAAATTTTTAGTCGGTCGGTCCCCTTTTTTGAAGATTGAGTGGATTTTGTTGAATTTAGGCCTATTTAATCGTTTTTTGAGGATGTTGCCTGTGACGGAGACCGGATTGCGGCACAGATTCGGAAATGTCTCGACCAGACCTACCGATAGGGCGAATAAAAATTTTTAGTCGGTCGGTCCCCTTTTTTGAAGATTGAGTAGGTTTGCTCGGAAACGGTGAGAAATTTGTTCCCCTTTTTTGTAGATAAAGTAGGTTTTCTCGGAAACGGTGAGGAATTTTCAACTTTCGGGATTTTTCCCAATTTTCCCATAAAATTTGGAATCGAATGGAAAAAACCGCAAGTCTCTACGACCACTCCTTCACCCCAAACATTTCTATGAGTGAGTGAGTGAGTCAGTGAGTCAGTGAGTCAGTCGGATTGGGGCTTTATAGGTTCTTGATGGAGATGCAACTTCGTTGCCCAAATTTTGGTAACGAAAAATTCATCACCCGAAATTTGGTAACAGGCGTTTGGTCGCCCAAATTTGGGTAACGCCGTCGGCGACGCCGTGAGGTTCCCGATGACGTCCTTCCGGGGCCACCACGATGACCGGAGGCCTCAACGCCACATTGGATCATCGTGGTGGCCCCGGAAGAGCGTCATTACCTCATCACCTCACGGCGTCGCCGACGACGTTACCCAAATTTGGGCGACGATATTATGACTGCCTAAAATTTGGTCACCGCGGGCTCGTTACCCAAATTTGGGCAACGGTGCGTGCGTTACCCAATGACAGGGCGATGGTGGTGACTCATTCATTCTCAGTGCTTATGTGTGTGTGTGTGAAGCGGCGGGCTAGGCTACGTCACAAACTCGTCTTTGCGCCTTGCTCTGCGCAGTGCTCGCCTCGACGGGTCTGGTCCTGCCGCCGTAGTATGCCTACTGTACAGTACAGACGCGAGTTGACTACTCTACAAATCGAAAAGCTTACATTGTATGCTCTACCTGGAGCATGCCTGCAAGTAAGGGAGTATGGGGCGATTTGTAACACATTTTGGAATTCTCTATTCAAAATTAAGAATATTCTGCATATCGGTGTCAAACTTGTGCCAGTTGAGCAGTCTGGCCCTTCATCTAGAATGTGAAGCTCCATTGGATCAATCTGGAGTCCGTAATCTTTGAAATCTAAGACGCTTTCCAAACCCTTGCATGCTGTTACGAATCGCCCCAGCATGGGGTGATTTGTAACAGCCATGGGGCTTTTCATAACATCCTGCACATTAAATGAAACATCGTCGGGAATGTTATCTCCTCCAGCAGTTGTTCTTCGGATGTCCTGCAGACGCCTTAAAATCTACATTACAAGCTGCCGTTGACCGCCTCAGCATTAACTGACCGGCTATGTCAACCCTAGCCTCACTTTTTTCAATTTTGGAGGAAAGAATAGAATAACTAGCTTTAAAATGCATTTTGAGCTGTGTAAATGTATTGGAATTAGGCAGCAGATGATTCGAGAAATAATTCAAGCATTTAATTGCAAAAACTACTTAAATTCTTGTTTTTATACGGGTCTGTTACGAATCACCCCAAATGCTGGCTACACTCTAAAAAATAATATAGGATTTTGTAACGATCTTGATACAAAATTCTGTAACACGTCAGTCGGATACAAAAATTTGTATCCTTGATCCTAAAGTCTGTATCACGTCAAGAATGTTACGAATTTACGAACCAGTGCTTCAAAATTCTAAAACTGACATAAAATTCTGTACTTTTCGTTTCAATATTCACAATCAATGATATAGTTCCATGTAAAAATGCGATCTTTATGCAAATAATTGTAACTGATACAGAAAACCGTAACATATCGTTACAAGTTTACATATCGTCTGATGCAAAAATTAATAACGCAAATTTAGAGTCAAATTACGAGCTTAATTTTAACATCACAGTTGATCGGGTGAGAAGTCCTAACGTGGGGCATGGTACTTTAGAAGCTTCGGGCCAGGAACTCTAACTGTCGCGCCGCAGGGCTCGTTTCCCACCACTACCTGGGCTTGCAGCGGGCCCGCTCGGTGTCATCGACAGTCTGAGGCGTGCCTCCCCATACGGCGCTGAGGCGCAAGCGGTAGCATGCCGAGCTCGCAATCCGGGGGACCGGGGTTCGGTTCCGGAGAACGCAGTTCGGTTTCTCCGGTTGTTCGGAAGTACAGGAGCGACGGAGCGAATGTGTAGGAACGAACGATCGTTGAGATTGAAATTTTGTTTATAAAACGACAAATTTTTATGATTTTTGCATTGCAGAATTCTGTAACCGGGAAACAGTTTACCGTAACGCGTCATACAAAATTTTGTATCAGTGCTGATACAAAATTCTGAAACATTTGTAGTGGAAATTACTGCGTAACCATGTTACAGAATTTTGTATTGAAATTTTTTTGAGTGTACGCAAGAAATACGTGTCTAACTATCACTGGACAAAGTAAAAGCAACTTATGCCACGTGGTTACATTGTAAAGGGGTCACGCTTCAAGGCCCCAACGGTACTTCGATGGTGATTCATACCTGGGGAGCCTCAGACAGAAACTTCCTAGAACTCAAAATAAAAGATTTGCCTGTTTTCGGTGTACCCTATATTTCAGACGCCCTCCAAAACTATACCTGAGCACCGATCACATCCGCTTCGATTGTTGAAGGACCCTGTACTTGAAGCGAAAGAGGGACCATACTCAGATTTTCCTCGGCTCCCTTCACTTAAATTAATAAACGCATTTGTTACGAATCGCCCCTGTTACAAATCGCCCCATACTCCCTTACGCTTTAGCCGGCAACTCCCCCTCCCCTTCTCCCCTACTGGCTCTCTTCCTCTCCTCCCTCTCCCCTATATATCCCTCCCTCTCTCTCTCTCTCTCTCTCTCTCTCTCTCTCTCTCTCTCTCTCTCTGTCTCTCTCCTCTCTCCCCCCAGCAGACAAAACCGGACAAAACCCATTCGCTGAACCCATTTAAATGGGCACTGTTCATGCACCCATTTAATTAGATCCAACCCATGTAACGGGTGTATGAAAAGTACCCACACTCGTAAACTCTTACGAAGTATTTTGAGCATACACATAACAAACTAATTTACTTTGTTATACGAAGAAACAGTTCGTAAATTACGAAGTATTTTCTTTGTAAGCTTATGTATGCTCAAAACAACGTTTCGTTGTAAGCCCCCCCGCCCCCTCTCTCCGTTCTCGTTTTTTTTTTCAGAGTGCCTGTCTGCGGGCACCCGTAGGTCAGGGGTTCCCCTTCACGTCTCCACTCATCTGGCCATCTCTTCCGCCGGCGAGTGTCCCTTATTCCCCGCCTGTTATAAATACACCTCAACACCCGCTGTATTAAAACTTGCATCATCCTTCGTTTGGCTTCGCCCTCTCGAAAGGCGTGCCCTTGTTGCCGGCCCACCAGCCGACAGTGGGCCAGAAGACTGTCGGAGGCGGCCAAAACTCTAGACGCGTTTTGAGCTCGAGTCGCTAAACGGAACTCGCACCGAGCAGGTGACCCCACCGATGGATTGCTTTCCGAACGAGGAATCCATTGGTGGGGTCACCCGCTCGGTTCGAGTCCTGTTTAGCGACTCTGGAGCTCAAAACGGGTCTAGAGTTTTGGCCGCCTCCACCGGTCTTCTGGCCCACTGTGCACCGGCGCGGCGGCGTGTATTCCCCGCCGGCTGTATTCCCCGCGCGCAGTGCAGGCGGCAACAAGAGCTGCGACGTCGAGGCGTTTCTGTGTGTGTGTGTGTGTGTGTGTGTGTGTGTGTGTGTGTGTGTGACGCGCCGGCTGAGTCAGACGGCCAGTCCAGCCGCCAGGCCAGCGCCCCCCGCTCCGCCACCACACCACCGCCCAGCACAGCACAACAGGCGGCAGCCGGCAAGCAGGCAGGCAGGCAGCCACGGCCGCAGTAGTGCGGTGTTGGTCGCCCGGCGTGGTTCTCCGAGTGCGTTCTCCCGCGAGCGAGCGGTCGTTGTGCCGCTGCGTCGAAGTGATCGTCGCGTCTCCAGCAGACAGCTGCACCGAGGGCCCGGCCGTCTGTGCTGCTGGTCCTTACTCGCCCTGCCCTGTTGCGTCACTCTTCAGCCTTAGGACAGTAGGACAGCCAATCAGGGAACGCCTATCGACGGCATAGGTAAGTGTACACAACGTGCAGCTGTTCTTTTTTGACGAGGCGGATCCGAGGAATACGAACTCAGGGCCTCCACTCTCATCCCAGGGACGTGACATCACGGTGAACCGAACGCCTTAAAATGTCACGTTCGTTTGAGCATTGTGTCACGTTCGTTTGAATGTGAACAAGCTAATTTTTGGCCGATTCACATCCAAACGAATGTGACTCAACGCTCAAACGAACGTGTCATTTTAAGACGTTCCTTTCAACGTGATGTCGCGTTCCTGGAATGAGAGCGTCTTTGACTGAAGTCAAGTCTTCAGCCAGTGAAGAAGAAGAATCGTGAAACCGGAAATGGGGCTGGCAACTCAACCCCACTCTCAAAGTGGGTTGATGCGGCACTCCATCAAAATCAATCATACCTTTTCACGAAGGAGAGAAATGTATTTGTTATCGTTTCCCCTGCGAACCGTGGTCGTTACCTACTTCCGGTCCACTCCCGGTTTGGTTCTTCTTGACTTTCGTCTCCGGACGAAAGGGGCCATTCTAATATTCGTTTAACATATTGGATAAGTCTTGTATCTCGTACCCTGTCCCCGCCCTGTCCCCCAAGGTAAATGCGGTGTTACGGTTCTGTCAAACCTTCACCCCCCCCCCTCCACCCCGGCTCCCTGTGCGGCAGGGCGTTGCGTTACGCAGGTCAGTTCAGTTCTCCTTCCTTTCTAGTGATAACAGGACGTCCGCTAGAACCTGTAACTCGTCGATAAATGAGGATTATAAGTAATCAAAAAGCCAGGAACTAAAAGCACGACACCTAGCGGCCGTTACTCTAAGTTGTCCAAAGCTGAACCCTGATTGGTCGAAACCGTAGGTCTGGTCGAAGTTCACAGCAACGGCCGGTAGATGGCGCGCTGATTGGTTCCTTCATTTTGATTCCTTTTGATCTTTCGGCATCGAGCGAGAGGGTCTATTGGGCCTGCTTGTGATTCTGTCCCCCACATTTAAAGAATGGTCCCAGCCGGGACGGTCCCCGCGCGGCCGGGGCGGTATTGTTGGGAGCCGCCGGCGGGACTCGTGTCAGAGTGAGACAGGGCGTGAGTCCACTTCCACTGTTAAAACCAAGTTTCAATATGTCCCGTCAATTTTATGGAGCCTTTACTGTGGTTTCAGGTGCAGGACACTGCACAGTGCACTCTTTCTACCTTGAAATCTGTAACTGTTGAATCGGAAAACATTTATCAGTACCGGATTCATCTTGACGAAATGAATAATAAACATGTCAACGCATGTCGTGGGTTTAGACTCAAAACAAATTGTTTTGGCTGTCGAAAAAGTTCTAAACTCCACAAGGGACATTTTGAACACGTTGGGGCCGTCCACGAAAAGGGGGCAGTAGCACTTTGGGGACTTGGGCGCGTTTTTTCGATTGTTTTGGGACTTTTAGTTTGGACCTCGATATAAATATTGGCATGAATGCTTGACACAAACAGCGTTAACCATGTTAAAGTACAAACTTTTTACATCAAATTTTTCAAAAAGTTGCTTTAGCATCTAGTGATATGTTGCACGTTAAAAAGGTCTGCATCACAATAATGCCCTAGCTTATTATCTATCTCCAGCGATTTACGCCCCTGGAAAGACGTGAATTGTGACTGCCTTAGGGCATAATTTCACCTTAAAACTCTATACCTTTTATGCCCTTCAGACGGGCATTGAACGATTACGCCCTTGAAGGGCATAAAAGACTGTTCACGCCTTAAAGGGCGTAGTTTTTATGCCTTCCAGTGCAAAGTTACGCTAAACACATTAAATATGACAGCAACATTACAGAATTACAAACATTAAGTAAGGAAGGAAAGTGTCAACCCGAGAAATTGTGCGTGACGTTACGCTGAGGGGGTAGGGGGTTCCGGTCCGGCGTAACTCTGCGTAACATAGGGGGACGTGCACTGAGAAAACCTTACAAACTATTTTGGGCCTTACAAAGAAAAGTAGTTTGTATAACAAAGTATTTTGAGCATACGTAAGCTTACAAAGAAAATACTTCGTAATTTACGAACCATTTCTTCGTATAACCAAGTATTTTAGTTTGTTATATGTATGCTCAAAATACTTCGTAAGGTTTTAAGAGTGTGGGGGTCAGAAAGTACTCAAAAGTGCGTGACGTAATTTATGGACGGCCTCGCGTCAGCCAATTTCGGTTTCGTTCAGAGTCGTAGCTCTCACCATATGGTGACATTCTCTACCTTACTGGTGAACCAAAGGCATTACACTGAGAAAACCTTACAAACTATTTTGGGCCTTACAGAAAAGTAGTTTGTATAACAAAGTATTTTGAGCATACGTAAGCTTACAAGAATACTTCGTAATTTACGAACTATTTCTTCGTATAACAAAGTATTTTAGTTTGTTATATGTATGCTCAAAATACTTCGTAAGGTTTTAAGAGTGTAAGGTTATGCCCTTCAAGGGCGTAAATCGGCGTAAACGAATTACGCCCCTGGAGCGGCGTGAATCGTTAATGCCTCTTGGAAGGGCATGAAAATTTTGCCTTAAATTTCTGTATATCATCTACGCCTAGGGCTTAAAACGATTTAAGCCCCAAAGAGCGTTACTTTTGTCTCTGTCTTTTATCATTGTGTTTCGTTTAATTAAGTGGTCTGGACTGTCGGCAAAGTATAGCTTATCTTGTTCGCAAACGTACAGAAAAGGCTAGAAATTGAATGTTTTCAGTGTTTACTAGCTTCGCACCAAATGACTGTAGGTTTTTCTGCGCGTCAATGCACGAAATTAAACATGCACTTCGTAACGCACGAATTTGTGCGCGACAGTGCACGATTTCGTGCGCAAGTATGCAGAAAATCGTGCATTGTCGCGCATTGTTGAGCGACGTTAACGTCCCCTCTTACCCCCTTCGTAGGTTCTGCAAGATATTAAAGTGTACACACTCTTAAAACCTTACGAAGTATTTTGAGCACACATATAACAAACTAAAATACTTTGTCATACGAAGAAATACTTCGTTAATTACGAAGTATTTTCTTTGTAAGCTTACGCATGCTCAAAATACTTTGTTATACAAACTACTTTTCTTTGTAAGGCCCAAAATAGTTTGTAAGGTTTTCTCAGTGCAGGATAGGCTGAAGTTGCCGATTTGTGTAGCCTTTTTTCCAAGTATTTGAACCGGTTCATTACATGAGTTTAGAAACTGAAGGTTGTCGCCAGACCTGTGAGCACTCTAAATTACTATGTAGTTATTTTTGTGCATAAGCTTTGCACAAAACTGCATGCGTTTCTAAATCATTAAATGTTACGCACAATTTTGTACGAGACGTCACATTATTGTTGGGTTCAGATTAACTTTTCATTCAACGTTATTTCCAAAAAAAAACTACACATTTCCCCCCAATTTTGTTCAAAATCGCCTTCAAATTTGAACCGAAAGGTCATCTGCATCAAAGACTGTGACGTCTCCTACCAATTTCGTTCAAAAACGTAGGCGTGTTCGATGAATAGCGCTTTCATTTTTCTATCGTGACAGGCGCAATTTCGCCAATGAACGGGGATTGACATAGGCGTCCTGCAGTGACCTTTACGAGCGGCAACGTCCAGGACCCCGCCGTCGACCAGTTTTATAAACAGAGGGTCTTACAGCAGTGTGAGAGACAGGCCCTGTTTTCTTATCGTGGACTGCCTCGCGTTGTGCATGTGTCACACCCTGTCCCCTTCTCCTGTAAGCTGATTCCAGACTGTTTTCGTCGCTCCGTCTCTCTCGCACTCCCGACGTTCCCTGGGGTTGCGAGGGAGACTGTGCGATAAACAGAGGGCGAGCGTGGAATCCATCTGCTGCGTCACCACAGTTCCGTTCGAACTTTATAGTTTGTTCAGTAGGTGCACTGCAGACCTAACTGTCTACTAAGTACACACTTACAAATGCGTGCTTGCAAGTACACACTTACAAACGCATGCTTGGCCAAGTACACACTTCCAAATGCATGCTTGCAGGTACACACTTACAAACGCATGCTTGGCTCCGTATAACTCCATGCGTCAAGCAGCGTTTGTAGTGTGTACTTGCAAGCATGCATTTGTAAGTGTGTACTTGGCCAAGCATGCGTTTGTAAGTGTGTACTTGCAAGCACGCCTTTGTCAGTGTGTACTTAGTAGACAGTTGTGTTTGTAGTGTGATACTGAATCCTGTAGTCTCTCAAAAGCGTCTGACCTTCCACGCTAGACAACTCATCACAGGAAAAGCTTTGTACAAAATTGTGGGTGCGTTTTAAAATGCACGAATTTGTACGCAATTACGCACGAAAATATGCGTTGTTGCACGGTAAAAATAGTTCCTGGTTTTCTCAGGAACTCCCTGGAAATCGCCCGTGTCTCTACCATAGGGTTTCTGGGAAAACCAGGTACCGTTTTTACCGTGTGTGCATGAAATTGTATATTTCACGCGCATGCTCCCTTTTGTGCAAAAGCGACGCACTACAAAACTCACGTAGTAATTTAGTTTGCTCAATCTACAGTAGGCAGCAGTGATACAACTTTACTCTCACTGTTAAAAAAAATTTCTGAATTTTCAGACTAATTTGAGTGAAGTACTTTTACATAAACTCGTTATTAATTTTCAGACTCGTCTTGGTCTGAAAATGAAGTCTTAAAATTCAGACATGGCCAAGTCTTAAAATTCCCACTGCTTTGTAGCTGAAAATTCATACTTTTTGTCCAAAATTTTAGAACATACTGTGTGAATTCATCCTGCAGCAATCGTGCGGAAAGGGCAGTCTGTTGTGGTGGTCCTAGACGCTTGTTAGGGCGGACCTACTGGACGATAACGATTTTTCTCCTGTGAGAGAAAGAGCAAACTTAAAAGCGCGCCGGGATTCGGCGCACGATGGTCACCATCGCTACTCAAAAATTATCAGACGAGATGGTCCGCAGTAAGACTGAGGCACTCGTCGTTCGAGGGTGAGAGCTCATATAGAACCTCCCATGTGTGCCACTACATTTCGGAGGATCAT